ATTTCTGAATGTAAACTATAAGCTGTAAGAATATGGGACAATTTGTCTAACCTTATTTTTTTGTTAAAAAAGTTATTCACTGAAGAAATATTTTAAAATACTAACAATAATAGTGCATTTTGGGTGTGCACTTAACAAACCATATTGTGGTGTGAAGTGTCATTTCGAATGATACTGATATGAGGTGTGGTTTTTAGTTTTATTCATTGTAAAAATTATCCATAATAGAGATCTCATAATTGATTGGGAATTATTTTTTGAAAAAAAAATTAGACTAATTTCTATTGAAGCTTCTCAGATTTTTGGGTTTATATTTTGTTTTGCTACGATAAAATTGCTTGATACAGTTTCGTGCCGAAAATTTAGCCGTATGAACCACGGAATATTATTGTAGAGTAATCAAATATAAAAAAAGCTTCAACATAAAACTATATCTGAAGAAGAAAACATATCAGGTATGATTCCAGCGTGAATATAATAAAGATGAAAGTTCGTTTTATAAAGAGGTGTTTTATACTATTTATGCGAGTTATGATACATAAATGCAGTAACGTTGAACACTTGTTTCTATTCTGAACCATAACTAATGATATCTAAAGTTAGTGAGTTACGCTATATATTGGATCTATCTACAGGGTTGTGGTAATCAGTGAAAGTTATTTTCTATGCAATAACTGTACGTTACACCACCTCGTCTCTGTCTCCAACAGTAACCACTATTGAAAAATAATGCTACTTGCAAAAATTTGGTTGCTCTTTTTGTGTTCATGGTTAGTTGTTTCGAGACTTAATATGTTTAGAATTTTACACAACAGGTTCATTACAACCATTTTGAGACATAATCAGTCTCTTTGAAAGTGTTGTTTTTCTTGAGTAGTCTGGTTTATATAGTTTATTAAAAAGTCTTCTAATGGTTATTAACATTATTATTTAGAACTGAATTAGTATATCCAACCAAATTACGTATTTATTGATATCATTCATCATTCGAAGAGAATTATTTGCTACCAAAGGCATTTTCGAGCATCTGCCGAAGAAATTAGGAATAAAAACTGCAATAGCTGAGCATTTAACTGATAGTTTGCATATTATTGATATTGACCAATCCTTCAAAGTTATTAACTGACTAAATAATCAAGCTACTTTGTTTCTCACTAAGACAGTGGCAACCCAAACTGGACTGATGTGTTCTAAAAGAGACAATTATAAATCCATTATTGTTCTGGCATGTTCATACTTTCGAGTAAAATCTATTATTCATATTGTTATTGTGAATATTAGGTTTGTTTTTCAGTCTTTTCTAAGCTGATTGTTGCTTTATTTGAGCTAAAATTATCTTACCATTCATTTGTTTTGCGTTTGCTTAGATTCTCAAACCTCATGTATGCTCCTAAAACCTTCCATCAATATTACGTAAACCATCTAATCAATTTCGGACACATATATAATTATTACTAATGTTGGTTGTTACTTCATTTCTTTCCCTTGCCAATGCCTATAACTTTAGACTATGTTATACCTCAATGCTATATTTTAATTAGAATACGGTTGTAAGGAGCTGAAGAGAAATCGCGAAATAAAATGAATTCATGTTAATCTGCTTCGATTGTTATTTTGGCTTAATTCAAACAAAAAAAATCTCAGTTCATCTAGAAAAAACCACTTCAGAGTTAGTTGGTCGCACTAGTCTAAGAAGCTAGGGTATTTATTTGTTGTTCAAGTAGCACGTTTACTCAACAAATATGATTTCTTGTTATTAACTTTACCAAATCGAGAAAATTAATTTCTCCCACCGTCTAGTTAATTATTGAAATACTGGTTTATATTAAGTTCTAATAGAAAGAAGCAAAATGCACTACTCAGTAATTTATTTACATTTTTTTCAGTCAAACCAAGGCATTTATCGATTCCGTTAATTTATAAATACATCAAATTATTAATCATTGGCTACCGCTTAGTTCAGTATTTTCAAGTCAATTAATTTCCCAATTAAGTAAACGATATATATATATATATATATATATATATATATATATATATATATATATATGACATTGTAAATTACATCATTTTAATCAGTCCTGAGACAATAGCTGGTGCATGAAAAAATCTCCTTCTACTGTCTTACGTTCTCATTTGCAGTGAACCATTTTATTTTTGCTTCATTGAACAAGTAGTGAATAAGAGTTCGATTTCACTGTCATAAAAATCCATACCAGTAGTTAGAGTTTTTTAGCAAGGTTTTGTTGTACGGGATGGGGTTGCTAACTCCAAACCCAACACTCCGCACTTAATCTGGGCTTGGAACCGGCAGTAATACAGAAGGTCTACTTGCGCAAAGCCCAGGACAGAGTCGATTGGAGAATCCTGGTCCGCGCTCTATGCTTCACTAGGAATAAAAGGTGTAATGAAGTATATAAGTAGTAGTATCGTCTTTTTTTCAAATTCGTATTAATTCCTGTGTTAGTTCTTACATTATTCAATGTTATCTGTTACTGATATTAATGTAATCAACAATGAACATAATCCCAACATCCCATTTGTTGATAAGCATAGATTACAGTAAGTTTCTCTTAATTTTTGAGGGAAATAACTCAGTCAACTGTAGGCGACAATATATCTTGTTTCGATTATTATGATCAGTTATGGTGGAGTTTCATTCTTTGAGTTGGATAGCTTGATCGTGAAGCTTTCATTCTTCTTCTGATAGTTTATTACAACCTCAAATGTTGTTTCGTAGCAATTGTAAATGTATAAATGGTTGTAACAGTATTTGAAAATGGAAGTTAACAAAAGGATACTATGAATAAAGAAACGTTATTTTGTTTAGATTTGTCTAATAAGTTGTCACTTAAATAAAATACAGTCGGATTAATAATAATCAATTTTCAACTGGAATCTTCTCTTTAAAATGGATAATATTCATCATGATTACGTTATATCCCGATGAGAATAATGAATGGTAACCGTTGGAATCTATTTCTAGACTAATATTATGTATACATATATTTACCGTATAATTTTTAAGTAGTTATTCATATTCGTGTTCCTCTTATCATAAGCTTTATTTTGAGCTATGAACTATTATTATACGATTTACCATTCTTGAGTTATGCCCAGTCTATCAATTACTATCTCCCACATTCACAGCCACGTTTGACTAAATCTTGTACAAATGTTATTTCTTATTTTATGGTACGATGTGGTCTATTCAGTTTGTATATAAACCCAGTGTGTTTGAAACACATGATTCACATCGCAGAGGCTGAGATTGGTGTTCTAGACTTAACAGACAGGGCTAGGCAGGAAGCAGGACTGGTAAAGTCTTTAGACTGCTAGTACGGGTTTTATACGTCGTTGGTCCGGTCGATAAACCGCTGATCTCCAATTGACGGTATCATTACGTTATACATTGATAGGGGCACAAACCCACAAGTTATAACAGATTAAAAGGAATTTATACGATGATCCCAATCCATGAGATATTAACACTTCTAAACAAAATTTATCAAAATGTAAATGAAACGTACACAACACACTTATGATAAACTTAACCAATAATCATTATTTTAGATTTCTCTTAATGATATGAATTTAAACTTTAAGAAATTGACTTATTCCATATTTTTTAATTGTTAAATAATGAAATTATTAGTTAGTTACATTAGAAAGTTTTCTATAACCTTTCAATTCTATAAGTAGTATGTGTAACAATAGAAAATAATTTGAAAACTTCTTAGTATTTCGTTTAGAAAACATTTTTATCGTTCTATTTAATGCTGAGAATTTTACTTCTGGTAAATAAAATGACCGTGATAAGAAGTAATCATGAATGAGATTATGACCATTTTCGTTATCTATTCATTCAATATAAAATCTATGTAAGTTATTTTTTTTAGTTTTAAAGTATAATAATTGCAAAACAAATGTATGCTTGAAAAAAACTAGTGAGTGACATTCCTTCCTGGAATCCAGTCTTTGTCTTTTGATATTCTTTAACACAAATGTAAAGTTATAAAACATGAGGTGAAAGGTTGTGGTCATATATCGATTGGTTATTTATAAATTATCAATCTGACTTTGTTTGATAGTTTTAATATTTTACTCTGTCATATTAGATACATTGACGTTATTCTATATGTTATGTTAAAATAATTGAATATTTCGGTTTATCTATTTTCTAGAAAAACCTGGTTTCCTATTTTATCATTATTCTTTAATTTAAAAAAAAAACATTGAATATTTGAATGGATCATATATTAGAATTACCAATTGATTAATCAATGTTATAAAAGGCTAGAACTATTCTTTCAATGTATGGAAAAAAAAATATCAGGAAGAATAGTAAATCTATCTTAAGTACATGCATTCATGGATTTTGATCATTTTTTCTCCAACTGTTCCTAGATTGAATGTTGTTAATGACAACGTTTACCACAAATAAATAACAATAAATAATAGTATTAATTATATGAAGTAATTCTTACGTTTATACATACATTAATACGAAATAAACTATATTAAATTATAAACAATTCATTTGATATTTAAATAACAAATCATGCTTTTAACAACTAAAGAATTCCATATATTTAAACACTAAATTATTATACAAGTAAATGTAAAAAATAAACTTTAAACAAAACATTCTTTTTATTTCATTCTTACAGTATCATCATAATCATAAAATCTATCATGATACACAAAATAACCATTATTGTTACCTATGTAAAAATTACATTTTCAATTTACAAAACTAACTTAACAACATGCTTTAGTACACAGAAATATACATTCCATATAGATATAAAGTAATTTTTCTTATTTCATACATTTTACACAACTAACAGTTGCTACATTGATATCATGTAAAGCAAAATATACTGGCATTAGACTATTTGTATATAATACATTTGAAATGAAGAAAAAAAGTCAATAACAATATCCATTTATCCATTTATTGATTTATCTTTTTAAAAATATTGAATAATCATTTGGTTCAATAATTTAAATCAATACGTAAGAAACAACTAATATAATAATAATAATGCCTTAATTATCTTCATTTAATTGGTTATTAATGTTTGATTCATAATATTTACCAACAATAAATGTGTCAACTACTAGTATTATGGTGTATATTACTTATGTCTTTCGATTTAAACAATATATAACATCAATCACAAATGAAATGCTTGTCAACAGATGGTTAAGAAGATCAAGTTGAAGGAAAAATCAAAATGATAGTAGAAATTAATTATGAATTGAAAAATAAAATTATACGGATAGTTAAGAACAGTTGACAGATAATTTACAAATGAAGTATTTAATGTATAAATTTACATATTTTATAAAGATATTCTATCATTTCATCTTTTGTGTTTTTAAAGAAAAAAAATATATCAGATGGGTTTTGTGGGTATTATAGTGATTTCAATGGTTAAGATCATGAGTCAGTTGTAGCTGGACCACCATGGAAAACCTGGAAGCACTAGATGGCCAACTCGTCCTATTGTGAGACTCCTCAGCAGTACACATCCACGATCTCGCCTCCTGTGAGATTCGAACCCACAACCTACTGGTTTTGCGTGCGAGCACTTAACCACTAGATCACTGAGCTGACCGGTATTCAACGGTGTTAATGTCTAACTTCAACTAATTCATGAAATTGAGCGACACATCCACCACTGTCTTCAGTGAATTACTATCTCACAACAAACACGGTTGAATTCCACTGGTCACTACTTCTCACTAGAACTCCAGGATATACCTCGTCAAGCCAATCACTCGTGAGCATATGTTGATTAATATCAGATGCTTCCAGGTTTTTCATGGCAGTCTAGCTTCAACTGACTCATGATCTTAACCAGTGAAAAGAATAATACAATAATTATCTTCCTCTAGAATTCTTATATATTACAATATGAATTAAATAATTATAAGTAATTCAAAATTAATTATGATGTATTAAAACATGTATTAAAACAATGAATTAAATATTTTAATTGTAAACGAAATTTTAAATTAAAAAAGAAATAAATTAATGGATTCGCAGCAGAATTAATAAAATATAAATAATGAAAAAATCGTCTTAAATGATATTTAATTTTAATTTTTAATATTTCATTTGAATTATTCATTAATAAATTATTATTTGTTATATTATATAATTGATGATTATAAAAATGATTATTTAAATTCATTTCAGTAATCATTGAATTATTATATAATAATGAATTTGTTTTATTCATTATATTATAATTATATATTAAATGTAATTGATTTGTTGTTTCCATTAATAATTCCCAATTGATAGGCCAAATAAATCGATTAGCAATTAATAAATTTGGTAAATAAGATATAATAAAACTAACTGTAATTAAAATAAATGTAATTGCACTTTTTATATGTCGATTATTTGTTAATTTTATATGATGATGATGATTAGATTTTTTATATAAATTAAATAAATTTCGTTTTATTGATTTATATTTTAATTGATTATTATTATTATTATTTTGAATTGAAATAATTTGTTTAGATTGATTCATTTTATTTTGTTTTTTTATTGATTTTAATTGATTAAAATGTATAGATTGTGAATTGATTTGTATTGTTGAATCACTATAACTATGACTAAATTGATTTCGATTTTGTTCATTGTTTAAATGTGTTTGATTTAATTGTACACTTAAAAATCTTGATCTATTATTATGATTAAAACAAATAAAATCAGACTGTTTAACTGGTTTATTAATTATAACATCATGTTTTGGAGAAGTTAAAGGAGTATTTATTGGTTCAATAACTTTTATTTTAGGTCCAAATTTTGTTCTCCATCGATATTGATGTATCATAATGAATAAAAATAAATAACCATAAAAGATACAAATGCAAGTGAAAATAAGACTGAATAAAATTAATATAGACAATTGATAAATTTCATAATCACTTTGCGATATGAAACGTTCATCAGATTTACAATAACCATAATTTGTAAATGATGATATTAGGTCGATAAATTGTGATGTAAAATAAGCCAATGATGATTTTTCTGATGACATTGATGAGCTGTTAGAAATACTATTATTCAATTCTGATTGGTTAGTTTTAAATAAACTATTTGATTCATGAAACATGGAAATAGCTTCTGAATCACTGGATACAAGTTTATCAACTGTACTAATTTTAAAATAACTGTGTACACCATGATGTAATCCCATTGGTATTGCCCATAGTATTCCTAAGATATATGTTCCAACGATTAGTCTCTTCATACACTTTTTTGTCATTATAACACATGGTATAAAACAAACTAACAACCAACGGTCCAAGGCAATTATAACCAAAAATAGTGCAGAAACAGTTAGAGTGAATGATTTTAAGATCACATGTAGTCTACAAATAAAGTCATATGTTCTAGTTTCCCATACAATCAGAAAGATTGTTGTCGGTATATCAATAACACATATAATCAAATCATTTATTGCAAGAAGGACAATGAGAAGATCAGAGTTGAGATCTGTATGCATGGCAGTACGTTTTGTGAAAATAAATTTTTTCGTAGTTTCCCTGTTTTTATTACAATCATTTCCTGTTTCTATTGATTGGTGAATATTTAATGTTGAAGTATTATTGACACTTGTTAAACTATTGCCTTGATTTCTTAATTCATTATTACTGACAGAATTAGACGATTGACTAATTGGCACAAGACTAGAAGTTCTTGACAAACATACATCAAGATAAGGATTTAATCGTTGTTGACAAATATCTTGTCGGTACTGAGAACGTTTTTGATTTTGTTTAGGGTTTTCTGGTTGATTTTTACATCTTGAACAGTTACAAACAATACGTAGACAGTTTTCTAATAATTTGAAGAATCTTCTAAATATATGACGACCAATTGTATGTACTACTAACCAATTACCAATTAATCCAAAAATACTTATGCATACAAGAAAACAACTGATAATAATTAATGTTGGAATATAGTTTTTTAAAACAAGTTTTTGAATATTTTCTTCTTCTTTAGCAATGAGACTATTTAAATTTGATGATTCCATTATGATAAATTGGAAAGAAAATCTTTTCTTTTCTGAGTTATCATTTATGAGAAAAAGCTAAGTTTGTTTCCAAATATTCAGTAAATTAAATGATAATATATAATTTATTAGGAATGTAAGGGGAAATTTCAACCAATTAAACAATATTTGAAATTTGATTCGTCAAACATAAATTATAATTTTTACTATTGGCGGTCATATTATTTAAAATACTATGATATTTCACTTGGTATTGTTTGGCTTGTATCTTCCCATTGAGGTTTAAGACTGCAATTGATCAGTCTGTTATTGGCATATGTGCATACTGTGCGTATGCCTAGATATTACCTTAATTCTACGGTATTTCATAAAATTATCTATTAAACTGTAATTCATTTAATGATCTAAAAAACTTAAAAAAATTAGTTACGTAATTTAGTAATATCAATATTAATTTATTATTATTATTATTAATAAAATTACAAATCGTTTACAGTAACTATCCTGTGTAGATTTGGAGAAATGATTCATTTTGATGAAGAGTATGATGTATAATAATGAATTCTTTGTTGATCAAAAGATCCAATTCATTTTTCTAACAAGTTATTTTGTATTCCACCATTATCAATAACAATAGCTTAATTTCATTTTATATTGTTTGTTTGAATCTTCACATTAATGTTTAACACTGCAATTGATCAATCTGTAATTGGCATATAATTAGCATTCTGTGCAGATTGCCCCAATATTGCCTTAAGACACAAACATTATAGACAAAGATGGATGATGGCTAGCAGTGGAATCCAGGACGCACGTTTTGTCCTTTAAGTAGCTGAGTGCATAATGCAATAATGTTTGAAGCGAACAGTACTGGGTTTGAGTTCTAGAGTGAACATCAACTATAGAACACAGTCATATCCATCTGATGAGTCCCGAACAGGACAAAAGGCGCATTCTGGATCTCACTGCTTGCCACCATCCATATTTGCTTATAATGGCTTAATTTATTACCACAAATTGTTATAGTAAGGAATTTTCAAGACTGATTAGGCGATATGCAAGTAAATTCCTCTTTAATTTATATTCATATTGTTATTATTTAAAAAAACCACGATTATTCTATATTCCAGTACCTGCTATTTATCCATAATAAAGAGTTTATTAACAATTTTGTTACTAAGAATGCCTTTTTTCATCCATCAAATGTTGAATGGATGAATTCCAACATATTCGTTTCACTTTTCCAAAGTGTAAATAAGCTGGCGAATATGACTTGTAGTATTATTACTTGAGATTTCCATTATTTAACATTTCAAAAGGGTTTAAGTCACTCAGGATACAGTGTGAGTATGCACAATAAACATTCATAATTATTCGATTCAAACAGAAAAAGACAAAGGAAGGACATTACAGCAATACTGGAATTTAAAAAAGGATGATCCGAACATTTTAATAGGCATTAAACTATAAAACGTACAATAAACTGTCATGACTGTACAAAGTTTTTACTTTGAATGGAAAAAACACTGCTATTTGTAAAATATAGTAAGGAAGACAAAGTCCATGGTAGATAATCATTTAAATCACCCGAAAAGAGCAACTATTTCCACCGATTACGACCAATTTTATACCTATTTTATTGATATTTTAATGAATTATTAGGGAATATCACATTTAAGCTAAATAAAGGGTAATATCTACATTAAACCTACAAAGGATCACTATAAAACCTAAGTTTTACGTTAAACTTAGGTCAATTCATGCTAAATTAATAATGCGAATGCCACATTGAATAAATCGTACACTTTAATAAAGTGTACATTATACTGAACAAAATATCACACTGAATTAAAAAATGATCTCACGTTCCTACTCCATCCCAATATTCACACAATATTTTTTAGACTGAAGCAAATTGTTTAAAAAACAAACTACCTTCATTTCAAAGATGTATAGTTAAATATATGAACTAGTAGATTGTGATTCAATGAACTGAAGGTCCGATCTTCCATCCTTGATGTGGCAATGAAATCATACTATTAGAGAGTTTGAGAAAGTAGAACAAAATAACTGTTGGTCATTTTCTAGTGTTCAGTGGTTTGTCAAGTGATGATGGTTTGTGATATAAACTGTCCCAGAAATAAATTATTTAGTTGACGATATTATTATTTATTAATGGACGACTACTTATCATCACTCCTTAGGATTGAAATCACTCGCTTATACAGAAAGATTGATAAAATATTTTTTTCGGGATGATAAATTACAAAATGCTACGATAATAATTTTGTCATTTAATCTCTCTTACTCAGTTTAATGTTAATGTGTTATGTTGTGGCACCATCCGATTCTGCAACTCATATACTAGCTTCTTGTATGTGAGACCAGTAAACTAGTTGGATCAGAAAGCCAGCAATGAGAGAGAAGCCTTATTCCTCGAACTCAACAGAAGAATTCATTCAAACTCACAAAATATACATGTTTTCCCCTATAAAATAAAGTCACATTTTCAACCAATTGCTTATGTCTCGTTCCTTAGAAAGGAAGGCAAAGCTTGCCCGACAGCATATGCTTAACATTTGGCCTCTATCTGATTCACTCAGTGTATCAAAGTACCACCTCAACCATATTTGATTAGTTTCATCTGACGTTATGTAACTATTTAAAAATATTCAGCTAACAATATATGAGCTACCAGTAAGAATAAAATGGCTATAAATACGTAATACTATTCAATAACAAGAAGTATTCAACATCTCTTTATTCCTGTCAAGTTGAATAGATCTCAACAACAAGCATCTATTACTTTATTGATTAATTACCACGTAACTTGAAAATATTTTGTAAATTTGTGATAAAATAAAATATTCATCCACTGTTAACAACAAACTACTGCCTTATTTCCAATTTACTCAACTCACTCGACAAATTTTCACTGAAATATTGACCAGTTCACCTAATTTTAATTCACGAATGATCACAATTTGTGATCTTAGACGTTTGAAACCCAGTTTAAATTCAGCGATACGATCTAATACAGAGCACAATACTGAAACGGAAATCCTAATGGATTTCAGTCTTTCTGTAATCAGCATTAGTTTGTAATGAGTGTTCTTGAATAAATCACCTCTATATATAAGAATCGCGGATATTTTAAAATATTAAGTTTAATAAAATTCGGTTTTTTAACAATTAGAATGATACTGAATTAGAAAAAACCTAGATTGATAGTCATTTATTTGAATTTCTTTTAAACCGTGTTAAATAATAATTAATATTTTTTTTGTTAGATCTCAGTCATTAGAAAAATTGTGTTTATGTCGTTTCGTGACTTAATGTAAGCCACTTCTTCAGAGTAAATCAATAAACGAAATTAAATCAACACAAGTTTAAATAGTACAAATGAAACAATGCAAAGTATTTTTAGCACAATCAAAATCATAATAAGTCTGAATATGTCAATGTCCGGTAATTTTTGATCAAGTTCAATTTGTATGGCCTGTCACTGTATTAATTCAAGTGTCAGAATGTGGGTATGAAAAATGTACGCATTTGTGATATAAAGTAGTGGGTGTGTGTATAAAAATAATAAATAAGGTGAAATGTGGTTCTATAACCCGTACTCGAAATTTAAGATAAGTTTCAATATTTACAAGAATACTTTTGTCATAATCAAATTAAATTTGTACATAAGAACTGATAAACTAATACACAAACCAGAATTTGTTTTTAAAAAGCCTCAACTGACTCATGATCTTAACCATTGAAATTACTATAATATCAACAAAACCCATCTGATATTAAAAATATATGTTAAGCAATTTACATGTGTTTACTGATAGGTCTTGATCTTGCCGTTGAAATCCTGAAATAATTTCGAAATGATTCCTGTTGATATTTTAGAAAAAAATTTCTAATCTTCATTTTTAATCAATAATTGAATAGGAAATTTTGATGAGTTCTTTCTTAAGCAATCAACTCCCAGTGATTTCAATTTCTTTCTAACGTGATCATTATTATTTTATCTACTTAATCTGTATGACACATTGTTGAATATAAAATTATTTTTATTATCTGTTTCTATTCAAATTAGATTGATGAACATGTTATTTGGGAATAAAGCTGCTTGATGGACATAATTTAACAACAGATGTTTGGTAAAATTCGTCTATTGACGTTTAGAATACATGGTTGAATAATGTTATGGTTAAATGAAAACCATATATTAAAGAAGTTAAACGAACTATAGCAACCTCAAGTAATTATTTAAAATATGAAGATTATTGTATGATTACGAAGATAAAAATTACGGACTTAGTTGAACAACAATAATTTTGATTAAACGATAGTTATTATTACGGAATAATCTTAGTTAAGCAACCACTTAAAACCAAGAAATACTAGACATCTATTTTGTCCTAGTTTGGAATTCCTCAACATTGTACACCTACGATCCTACTAGAAGAGGTCGAACCCGGGGTTTTCGGTCTTATTGACAATTGGCCTCTCGATTTCTGACCAAGCATCCAGTTATATATATAATTAGCTTCAATCATTTTGCTTGTGGTGGATAACAATCACACTCTGGACATGGTAAAGCTTTACAGGTCACAGCTTCTCACTAGAACTTCTAGAATTGCACCCCGAAGTTAGTAACCACTAAATACATGAAAAATTGCCATAAGCGGTTTGTGGAACTTTCTAGAATTGTATACCTAGGGGCTACTGAAAACGAGGAATTACTGAATAGCTATTTCATCCTAGTATATGTTTCTAAGGGATAATTCGTTTTTTATCGTTATAACAATTTGTTAAAAATAATAAAAATCTAAACAATAATTTTTATTGTAAGCAAAGAAGGATTGTGGCTGGCATTGGGATCCAAGACGCGCGTTTTGTTCTATTCGGGACCCGTTAGCTGGGTGCCTATTAAAGACTGATCAATTGCAGTGTTAAACATCAATCAGAAAATTCAAACAAACAATACAAAATAGATTTATTAATTTTTATTATCAATGTTCCATGGTGTAAATACTAATACTTTTATTTATCAT